TATATATATATATATATATATATATATATATATATATATATATATATATATATATAAGCAAATATATGGATATAGATCCGACAGTATGAAGAAAAATATACGGAAAAACAAACAAAAATCCTAATATGCATTTATGATGTTTTAATGTTAATATAATGTCAACGTCGGACGTTTCGGTCTAGTAGACCATCTTCAGGACATATTCATAAAACATAATTAACATTAGACTATATTTAATTCAACATGAAAAGGCGATGGACATAAGACTAAGACTAATCAAAACAGACAACTGAAATTTTTCAAGATCAGCGTTCCGTTTCAATATGATCACGTCGGCGTCACGTGGGCGATGTTGTGAAAACATACTCCTCAAATATAGTATTTTGAATGAAAAATGAAAGGAATTTTATTTTAATCTAAAACTTATATGTACGTTTGTCGAGCATTAATCTTGCTAGAAAAGGGGAAATATTAAAGAAGCCAGGTCTAGTATTCACCGTGCGTGAGATAGATATTATGCCTACCACATAAATCCGTCTAATATTTTTATTATTAATATATTTTGAAATCTTCACAGAATCAAAATCGAAATTATGATCAGATTTAGTCTTATTACAACCCAGTAATAAGTTACTCCAAAATTCGCTTGAGGATGAAATGGAACTAATGTCTTTAATTTAATTACAAAATTAAATTCGAAGCTTTTAGATTCCATTTTTCAAGCATGGTTAGAACTGTGTAGCGGAAAAACCATTTTTAAATCAATTAATTATCACAGCTCTTTTAGTTTGTATATATATATATATATATATATATATATATATATATATATATATATATATTAGGACATGTCTCATTAAATAATTTAGACAAGTTTTGTCTACTTATTCTTAATAGGATCCTCTCATATTTACGCACAAGATTCTTAGTATCCTTATTAAGGAAGAAATTTTACAAATTGCTCGGATTAAATTTGTCATTCTTAAAAAAGTCTTAATAAAGATAATGATTTATGTCACAATTTCACAGACTATTTCCATCTATCAATGAAACAATGGATATGTTAAGTAGACTGTGAGCCCAGTATATAAGATTATTTATGGAAAGTGGGTTGTCCGTTTACCTATCCTCCTGCCCTTTTACCTTTTTATAATAGAAGCATCACAGAGAAAAGAACGTTATTAAGATTACTGGTGTTAGCAAAGATCACTAGACACATGCACATCCCAAAATGATAGATTTAAATAAGCGTTATTAGCGGAATGTTAACTCTGTTCATCGATCATAATTTTAGACAAGTTTCCTAGCCGGAAAATATAAACATCTTAAAATGCTAATCTTGTCGCAACGTGTGTCTCATTGATATGCGCTGATATTTGTCAATTTCACTATTTATTTGCAAATTTATTTTTTGGCAATGAGTATCGATTCAAATTTGTATAACCCTTTCTTTATGATCAAGAATTTTAAACTCCCATTTTAATTAAAACATCCTCTCATTTGAATGTTCGATTAGCATAATGGTTATTGAAATGCCGAGTTCAAATTCTGACCAAGGTTTTATATTTTCACTTCGCACTAATGTCCTTGGAATAATCCATACTCGACAGCTAAGTGTTAAATAACAATTCAGACTGTAGTCTCTCTTGCTTTGGTGTAGTAATCAATATAGGAGAAGGAAAATCTTAATCAAAAACTAGTCTAAAGAGAGATAAACTTCATCTGGTTACTGTGACTGAGCTGCCACATCTTCAGTACATGTGGTGCCTTAATCACATATGATTCATGGGATTCGCCTTATTCACTGTATTTCAGTTTAATAGCAGACCTGGAAGGGACTGAAAAACGTCATCTGTTGCAATGATTCAGTGTTTTGTAAATAAAAAATTATGCTCAACGGGATGATCCAAAAGGGACTTGATCGAAACTGTTGTGAGTTCAATACCTGGCCACAGCACAGGGAAGAAAAACTGTATGAGTTGAGTTACCAAGGGAAATTAATTGAAACCGGAAATATAGAACAGGATGGCAGATGAGATAAATGGTTCGTTTCGAGATTCCAACTAATATCACCCGAAGAAGGTCGAAACGACGTGAATATGGCAATGAAGACGAGGACAATAGTCCGAACAATGCAAATAGTGTAAATATGATATGTATTGCTTAAGATCTGCTACATTCACGGTGAACGAATGCTCTGTATCGAACGGAGATGAGCCATTTATCGATATAGACAGTGTGAGGCCTATATATATATATATATATATATATATATATATATATATATACTTCGAAAAAAACAAGTAGTGGCACATAGTTCGAAGATCATTTGGAGTGTTAAATTGACTGTCTAATTCCTATGTCCTCTCTCCTCTCACACACAGACTCTCTTTATACACACACACACACACCATGTGTATTGCGTTTTGGTACAACACACATGGTTTGAATATTGCTGTTATATATATATATATATATTTATATATATATATATATATATATATATATATATATATATATGTGTGTGTGTGTGTGTGTGTGTGCGTGTGCGTGTGTGTGTGTGCGCGCGCATTTAAAAGTGAAAAAAGTATTATAAAATTTAAATTCTGTTAAAGTTCATTTTTTTTACTATTAGTAAAATTTTGGAGATCTCTCTCCTAGACATTACCTCCCAATTGTAGCATGTGCGTCTAAGTATTACCGAGTTTACCTTTTACATTTTCGATAAGTGCTTGCGTTAAAATGAAAAAGGGTCGTGTGACAAATTCTTTATCTTTTTCTTCACGTATCAATAGAAATGAATCACTTTATTATGTTTAAAGAGCGAATAAAGAGCTGACCTACGGAAATCCTTCAAACCACTTACAGGTAAGTACGGAAATCTGTGCAAACCAGCGTCAGCGCCAGAAATGCATAGATACCTACATAGTGTAGGTATTTGTAGATATTTAGAACACACAGCACACACGCACAAATATAGTTGTTAAAAAACCGCTGCAGTCCTACACACAGTCGAATGCAGCCACACAAGCCTCCACCCCAACACAATTTCGGCACAAATTCAGTCGTATTGAGTGTTTCTCGCCCATCTGCTCTTGTTCCTAACAAAAGTAAGGCACGAATCAACAGATGTTTTCAACAATGATAAACGAAAGATAATATTTGAACTGCTGTCTTCTTTAGTGCCTTTATCTTGAGTCATTCGCGACTCTGCCCAAATTCAATTTGGGGAACAAAAGCAGAGCAATATGGCATTTCCATTTCTAAACTAGACTAAATTACAGAAGTTTGGTGGAAATGACGAGCATATGAGAAGAGTGAAAACAGAAAGAGTGAAAAAAGAAATAATGAATAACAATGTTAGAAAAAGACAACATTGGTAAGTAAATTAGAATCACTTGAAGTGTCTTTCTTGCCCTACATACTTACAGGCTGACAATCACATTCAAATGTAAATACACAATCACTCCATATTTAAGTAACCATTTGTTTAATTTCATTTACGCTTAAAACAAGTAAAAACAGTTATTAAAATATTAATGGGTATATATGACATTAAAAGTTTAATGGGTATATATGACATTAAAAGATTAATGGGTGTATATGACAGCATAAACGGGGAACCAGAGGAGAAGGAAAATAATCTTCAGTTTTTGAAAACCAATACGAAATGAAGAAGAAGAGAAAGAGCAAATATGAGAGGGTACTGAAAAGTTCCCAGGAAGGGAATCTAAATAATCCTGATGTTTGATAATTTGGTTAGATTTTGGGAAGTGATTCGCGCTAATTTAACTTTTCAGCACACTCTTTTACTCACTAGATTATGAAAGAAAATGTATAATCATCCTTCATGAAAAGAATGGAGGATAACTGAAATTTGAAACAAAGCTGTCAAACAAACACTTTCAGTAAACCTGTACATTAAAACGAATAAAACGACGTAATTGAATGACTTGAGTTTCACTGGAGAATGCATTTTAACAGTTTTGAAAATATGAGAAAACCATAGACAAGAAGAATTGCAAAACAGTTTGGGAAAGAAGATTAGAAAGGCAAATCTCAAGATTTAAAAAAATGTAAGAAATACATGCAAAAAATAAAAAAAATAAATTATCAAATGAAGAAAAACTAAAAAAGAAAATATATACAGAGAGCGGAATGCTCAATACACAGAAAACAAATGTTTCAAATTTTACCCATTCACACTCATCACCCCATTCGATATTAGAGGTGCCTTGCCCAGAAATTACTATTCATAATGTTTCTTCAGGTAATGGTAGCTATTTGGCTGTGCTCATATCCTCGCTAAATGATACTGACAGGTTGTACTGGGTTGCATGGTACCAGTGAAAAGGCCCAGACCTGGCATATTGGAAGCAGTCTCCTATATTTATTCTCGAACAGGGAATATTTCTCAAAATTTGACTTCCGAGTGCAGCCATTTAATGCTGTCTTAAGTTCGTTATTTTTTTTGTTTTCTTTTACAAACACGCGTGTCCAGCACGAAAAAGTGTTACAGTTAAATTTAGAAATCATTTAAAAAATATAATTTTTCAGTGAATATTAAAAAATTCGACAGAATTCGATCTTCTTTCTCCCGTACATTAGTATAATAGCCAGGGGAATTATGGTTAGAAGAAAATCAAAATCAAGGGCAAGTAACTGCAATTTTTAATTCTGTGATAAACATCGATTAATCAAATATATGTTAAAATAACTTGTTATTTTCAATAACTATTGAGTTAGATCTACACACCTCCTAAAAAAATAAAAATCATAAAAAATTATTTGAGTGCTAATTTTCAATTTAGTCCATTAAATCTCTTTGCATGTGATCAACACGTGTACGCGCGTGCACATGCACACATGTATAGATAAAAAGAGGCTTCTTTATATATACAGATGAAGAGTGCGATTTGCATTGCTATAAATATGATCGCTTTCTATTCAAATAGACGCCAAAACACCAACAGTGACGCAGAAATAAATGATAAACAAGTTTAAGAGAGAGAGAGAGAGAGAGAGAGAGAGAGAGAGAAAAGAAAGAAAGAAAGAGTGAGTGAGTGAGTGAGTGTGTGTGTGAGGGGAAGGGAGAGAAGGAGATAGAGGTAGTCACATGACTGCGAACTCGTCCAAGCACAAAAAGGCCGCCAGATGTAGGGACGCAGTAAGGGCCGTGTGTGCCGTCAGTCGATCGATGAATCGATCGATCTTCGTTGCGCGTTCAGTGGCTGCGCAAATACAAGGCGATTGATGCTAGAAAAGTTGTTGCTTTCAAATTTTAATGGTAGCGAACACCTGTCAGAAATCAATGCCTTGTAGCGGGGGTGGGGGTCGTTGTAGCTGAATAATGAAATGAGTGCTTAGAAAGAGGGAAGAGAAAAACGACGTACGTACTAAGCCACAACAAGGAAATGCTGTGCGCGTGTATGTGTGTGTGTGTGTATGTGTGTGTGTGTGTGTGTGTGTGTGTGTGTGTGTGTGGATAGAGAATAAAAGTCGCAGAAAAGATGAGTACATGTGGAAGTGATTAGGCAATGTAAGAAGGAGGGAAAAGAAAGGAAACTGAAATAATTGCAAGAAAGGAGACAATATGAAAAAGTGAAACAAGGAGAATAGGGTTAGATAAAGATAGAAAAAAATGATGAATGAATGAAGTAGGGAGAGTATTGGCGAGAAGAAAGTAAAGATAAAATTGTATGGAAAAACAGAAGGGTGAAAAGATATGAAGGAGGAGAAGAAATAATGAGAAGGAGAAACGGCCGAGATTGAAGAAAAATGAAATGATGAATGCCCAAAGATCCAAGGGAAATGGAGAAAGGAAAAGAAGATACAGAAGCATTGTAGGGAAAAGGTAAGAAGAGAGATTTGAAGAAGACAATGAGAAAAGAGAGAGTGAAAGAAAACAAAGTAAGGGATAGTATTTATGATTTCATTGAAAATGGATGTGTAGCAAGAAAGACAGGGAAGAAATATTGAGGATAATGAAAGTGGAACAATGAAAATATACAAAAAGAAACTTAACATCTTAAAATCTCTTGTTATTTATGCTCTTTACATAGTGTTTGTTCAACCATGATCGTGTACCCGACTTCATAAACTATAAACAGTGCAAGATAGAAGTTGATGGAACAAAAAAACAAAAATAAAACAAGAACAGCACAAGCTCATCAGGCGCCCACATATTGTAACCTTGTGCCAGATTAAGTAATTAAGGCGCCAACTTAAAATGGCGGTTAATGGCTAGTCTCGCAGATTCGCACATTGAGTGATGTAATATTGTTGTCTAGAAAGCTACTCTTGCAAGCCAATATTAGTATAGGGAATTTGGTCTTAATAAGTGATCTATGATTTTGGCTTGTTCTTGATACTTAGAACACATACCGTAAACTTGGTGGACAAGAAGAGTGAATTCGATTCTACTTGGGTGTTTAACAACTGCAACCAGGTTTAGGGTTAGTGTAAGGGAATAATGTGAGCGATAATAGTAGAAGAACGCGGAGTTGAAAAGAGAGAAAAGGGAGGGCGAAAGACAGGAGAGAATAAAAGAGAAAAGAAAGTAAAATATAAGGGAAAAACAAAATAACAAAGAGGGCAGGGAAAATGGGGGAATAGAGGAGAAAAGAATAGGGAAGGATCAGCAGAATAGGAGAGAGAGAAAGAGAGAAAGAAAGAAAGAGAGTGCAGATAAGTAGAACAATAACGTTACAGGGTGAGGGTTGAAGAGAGATAACAAAGGAAATAATTCTTAAGCCTAATTCTATACATTCATTAACAAATATCGCAATGACTGTGGTACCCATTATTGCTTGAGCACTATGGCCGGGTCAAATTAGAAATTCAAAAGAAAAAAGATCCGATTCTTATTGGTAATAAATTAGTTATATATTAGTTAAGAAATTAACGATTTACGTTCCAATACTCTTGTTTGTTGATACCTATATATGTATATACTTACCTATATATGATATGTTCCGCACTTTCTCTATTAACAACGCTCATATTGACTTTAACGTACCAAATTACTTCTCCCCAATGGCTCTATTTATTGCTCCGTTTAAAATAAAAATCTAAATACGATTCAATGAAAATAAATATATCCAAGGAACAACATTTTATAAAGTTCGGAATATATTGTCTTAAAGTAGGAACAGAATCTCTTGTAATTGTAGCCCAAAATAAAGACATCAAATTGTATTTTTTTAAAAATCAACACAACCCAGAGAAATAGACAAAACTTTAAATTACATAAATGACTATAGCAAGTTGGAAGAAAATACAAAATAAAGGATTACATGACAGAGTAAGAAATGTGTTGCACTGATACTATGCAAAGTACTCAGATTCAATTATATGAAGAAATATTATCAACGTAAATACTTTTGAAAATGAAATTACACTTTAATGTGGCACTATTTAGCTATGGTAATTGGCTAACTAATTAACCATAGAAATTAAAACAGGAAATACTTAAGGCGAAAAAGAGCTATCCCGAAAGATATACCGATCGATGTTAAAAAAAAGGATATTTTTTTACGAAAAATTACTTTTCACAAAAGACATTAAACCCATGGAAAAAGGCGTATGTGAGGTTTTGTCAGGTTGATTGCCGAGGGAGATAGGATGAAAAGCAAATATTAACATATCGGCCAGAACATGGCGGTTATAAAAATTGAGACGATCGCCGATACAGGCAGGGAGAATCAATGTTAATAATCTTTCCAAGATATCGTTTTTTTTTTCTTGGAAATAGCAATGTGGCAATTATAAAATTTTGGCATTGTCTCGACATAGGTGAGAGGATTGTTATTATTTACCTTATAAGCATGTCGCTTCAGACGCTGAAACGTTGAATAGCAATATGGCGTTTGTAAAATTTTGGCATGAGTCAGAAAATAGAGTGGAGAATTGAGATTTGGCGAGATAAAAGAATTTAATTTCTTAACAAGCCAAGGATTCCATTATAAAGCTAACTTCATGAAGGGACCATATGGCAAACTTTGACAGTGATTTATGGGGTCGGTAGAGAGTGCTGGCTGAGTGAATTCTGGGTGGCCAAAAGATATGATAGAAATTTAATTGTCAAAATGGAATTCGTAAAAATTTGGGGCGATGGGAAAAAGGAGAATTTTAGTAAACAAAAATTCTAGATTATAATTTTAAGGAGGCCACCTTAGCCACACCCGCACGGCCGTGATGCAATTAGTCGAGTGGTAGCAATGGTGATAGGCGGAGGTGAATGGATAAGAAAGACGGAGAAATTACTAACGCCCACTGAAGGGAATGGTATGAGATATCAGTGTGAGAGAGAAAGAGTCTAGGAGGATAGCTCTCCTCCGACCTTCCCTCGTGGACGACGGAGACTCCCCGCCTCCGAAATGAAAAGTGATTAATTTTCCAAAAATGGGAAGTAATCAAATTGCCTGACAAAAAAGAGATTTCTTATTAGAAATCGAGATTTACCGAGAAACCCAGGCCGCGTCTGGCCCCACACCGGGTTTAGGTCGGTACCCATATAAACGAACGTCCTCGAGTCGTTCAGATAGTTCTCAGTTGCAGTCGCAGTTGAGCTGGTTTTGGGGTTAGAGTCAGAGCCTAACCAGAGTGTTGCCTCGCAGAAGCTGACCGAGAGATTCCACGACCTCCGACTTCGCATATTCTTCCAATAGCAAGTTATACTGACGAACGAAGCCAAGCCAACACCTAAGAACTAAATCAGTTGATTTAAGATACCAACTTGCTTGAAACATAGAGGTGTCACATTTCGTAGAAAATGGGCTGGGAGAAAAACACACTCCTGTATATAATAGAAGGATGAAGTTAATTTGTTATTTCTTAACATACTTGAACCTCTTGGGTTTTTTCTTTTCTTTATTTTTTTCCTTTGTGCTTGTGCGATACCACCTTCAGTCCGGACTCAGCCTACATTACGGCCCGACGCCTGATTGATCTCGTCTAAGATCAAAGTCACAACGTGGGTAGGTTAGACTTGAGATCGAAGCAGTTACTCCAGTAATCAGACGTTGCAAGTGAGCTGGGAAGGATAGATCTGGTATTGAACCGCTTCAGCTGGTGAGGCCGTTAACATCGACGACCAGACGGGCCGGTGTCCCATATTGGTATCCTGACCGGGACACAGGCTGGTGGCGGCGACAAAGAGTCAACCCCAAAACGCCGGTAGAAGAAACATTACAGTTTCGCGCCGCGACTGGGAGTTGACCACGGGCCGACGGCTGGGTGTCTCATTAAGAGATTTTTGCATCCATACAGATCTCTCTGTCAAAACCTGATAGGATATGATTGTTGAGACATTGATGTGTCATCTAAGTGAATAGGAAAGAAAGCGAAAGTAGCAAAACCTCACCTTGGAACTGAACAAGCAGCGTCATGTATAATTGGCACACTTGGAAGGAGGAATCGAAATTTCAAGGAAGAATTAAAATTCTCCAGATTCAGGCGTTGCTTTGGTCTGTGAAGATACTTAGAAAAGTGCTACCTAGTTGAGTAGACTTGCTGTCACCTCGTTCACAGTGACGATCAGCAATTGGGAATATACGAATGTCTGAAATAATAATAAGTGGTTGCTGGCACAAAAAGACCACAGACGATGCCATGAGAAAGTAGTTCTCTGAATAGACTAGGATCTATGCAGGAAATGTAGCCTCGAGTGCGCAGAGAAGTGTCACTAACATTCTGCACAGTGAATGAGGAAAGGAAGATTGTGTGCTATACAACCATTTTGATCGACAAACTCTTAGAGAGAAATAACATATTGTGCAAAAGAACAGCTATGAATGGGACCCTAATAGACGTTACGATACCTTGGTTTAAGAACATCGTAAAAGAGGAAAAGGTGAGAATACAGATATACCAGGTTTTAACAGGGAAAATCGGAGAAATATATGAAACAGCAGTTCAAATGATCCTTTTTGTGGTTAGTGCGCTGAAGACTATTCACAAGATTATTTCTACTTCTCAGGATATATTTAGGATAGCTGACATAATTGGGAGGGTACGGGTGGCAATGTTGATTGGAACAGCTCGTGTGCTAAAGAAAATATGTGTTGTGTCATTATGTTGCAGATAGGAGCTGAGATATGACCATCATCATCCGCCCGAGCCATCTAAACGTAAGAGAATATCTCAAATAATAATAATAATAATAATAATAATCTATATCTATAAAACAGATGTCTGTGTGTATGTGTCTCTCACTGTGTGTATCTATCTGTGTGTGTTTATGCTATTTATGTACGTCCACATTCCTCGATCGATTTCGATGAAATTGTATACACATGTTGCAAATTTATGAACATAGGTCAAGATCAACTTTTCAATCTCCAGCCCATCCCCAGGTTTGGCAGAAAAAATTGATAAAAATGAAGGTGGTTGCGAGTTTTTGCAAAAACCAATCAAAGTTACGCGAAAACAATTTTTTTACTGAATGAGCTGATGTTCTTTGCACTAAATGCAAAACATAGCTGATGCTATGAGGTTTATGTAGAGTGCTTGATAGGTTTCGTGCGACATTGGCTTCAGACAAAAAATTTCTAAAAAACTGTGAAAAAATCGGTTTTTTCGTACTAAAAATAAAACTTTCTCATTTTTATCCGATTTTCTTTAAACATGTCACAAAAAATTTGCCATTACACAATAAATTATATAACGTGGCTTTAGTCCTGCTTGCTTCCCCGCGTATAATGAAAAACTGCGAAAAACTGTTAAAAAAGCCCGTTTTTCGGTCATAACACACTGTTTTTTCACCCGATTCTTTCCAAATACGCCATGTAAATTACATATAACACACCAATTGTCTTGCTTGAATGTTTGGTTTAGATTATTTCAGTTAAATGGATGAAATCTGCGATAAACTTGGTCCAAACTAGGGGGTGAGGTATACAATGGAGGTGGTTATACAATTGCAGCCATGTACACTCGGGCAACGCCGGGTACATCGGCTAGTAATAATAATAATGAAAGCAGTGATTGGGGCTGTCAAAGTATTTTTGAAACATCGATCTACAGTA